CACACGGCCACGAGCCACGCCCACACGGCCACTAGCCCCACCCACTCAGTCGCTAGCCTCGCCCACTCAGTCGCTAGCCCCACCCACTCAGTCGCTAGCCCCACCCACTCAGTCGCTAGCCTCGCCCACTCAGTCGCTAGCCACACCCACTCAGTCGCTAGCCCCACCCACACATCCACGAGCCCCACCCACTCAGCCACTAGCCACACCCACCAATCCGTTAGCCCCGCCCACTTACACTTATCTCCCACGCCCAGGGCTGCCTGAGCGGCGTGGCGTCGCTGACTCTCGGATCCCCCCGCCCTCCCCCGTGCCCCCACCCCCCCTGTGCCCCGCCCCCCCGTGCCCCGCCCCCCCGTGCCCCGCCCCCCCGTGCCCCGCCCCCTCCCCGTGCCCCGCCCCGCCCCCCCGTGCCCCGCCCCCCGCTAGACATGAGCGGCTGCTTGGAGGGGCGTCCGCGCACCACCGAGTGGGAGCACCAGCGGCAACTCGCCGAGTTCTCCGGCGCCGCCGCCCTCTTCCGCCCGGTGCACGGCGCCATCGCGGCGCGCTTCACCCACGCCACCCTCGCCACACACCCGGTGGGGGGAGAGGAGCGGGGGGGGTTGCAGCAGCCGCAGCAGCAGCAGCAGCAGGGGCAGGAGCAGCAGGAGGGCGGCACCGCAGATGGTGCCACACCCCAGAGAGAGGTACGGGGTGGGGAGAGGCTGTGGGGGGGGGGGGGGGGCGGTGGGGGGAGGGGGTTGGGGGGGGGGAGGAGGACGTGGGGTGTGGTGAGCGAGTGTGGTGAGTGAGTGTGGTGAGTGAGTGAGTGGTGAGTGAGCGAGTGTGGTGAGCGAGTGAGTGTGGTGAGTGAGTGAGTGTGGTGAGTGAGTGTGGTGAGTGAGTGAGTGTGGTGAGTGAGTGGTGAGTGAGTGAGTGTGGTGAGTGAGTGGTGAGTGAGCGAGTGTGGTGAGCGAGTGAGTGTGGTGAGTGAGTGGTGAGTGAGTGAGTGGTGAGTGAGTGATGAGCGAGTGAGTGAGTGAGTGAGTGTGGTGAGTGAGTGAGTGAGTGTGTAGTGAGCGAGTGTGGTGAGTGAGTGGTGAGTGAGTGTGGTGAGCGAGTGAGTGTGGTGAGCGAGTGAGTGTGGTGAGTGAGTGGTGAGTGAGTGTGGCGAGTGAGTGTGGTGAGCGAGTGAGTGTGGTGAGTGAGTGTGGTGAGTGAGTGTGGTGAGTGAGTGTGGTGAGCGAGTGTGTAGTGAGTGAGTGAGTGTGGTGAGCGAGTGTGTAGTGAGTGAGTGAGTGTGTGGTGAGCGAGTGAGTGAGTGTGGTGAGCGAGTGAGTGGTGAGCGAGTGGTGAGCGAGTGAGTGGTGAGCGAGTGGTGAGCGAGTGAGTGGTGAGCGAGTGGTGAGCGAGTGAGTGGTGAGCGAGCGAGTGAGTGAGTGTGGTGAGCGAGTGAGTGGTGAGCGAGTGAGTGAGTGTGGTGAGCGAGTGAGTGGTGAGCGAGTGAGTGTGGTGAGCGAGTGTGTGGTGAGCGAGTGAGTGGTGAGTGAGTGTGTGGTGAGCGAGTGAGTGAGTTTCACTTTCATGTATTAGGCATAGCCCTGTGAGCCATGTGGCTCTTGACTCAGGTGCAACTGCAACAAACTAAAACACGAACAAGAAAAACATCTTGAAGTGACTGTACGCAACAGAAAAATCTTGGAAAAAGCAGAAAAAGCACCGCATTTCAAACGCTGTGTGCAACAATCCCAGTCAAACAATAACAACCATAAGACATATTATTGTTTCCCTTCTACGTGGCGGTGACTTTACCGAAAGAACCGAGAATATGAACGCTTTAAATCGAAACCACGAAGCAATTCAGCTTATCGTTATCGGGCTAACTCTGTACTCCAACAAACAAACGTGGCTAAACCAAAACGTTTAGCCGAACTCGCCAAAATGAAGCTCTAAAAACTGTGTAACGACGGTGATCATAGGAACCGTGATTGAAATGTAACAATAAACGATACACACGCGCGTACACACGTACGACCAAACTTTGCAGCCATGGCTCGCTGCATGAGTCATTCCATAACAGCAGGAAGCATCAGTAGCAGTATCAACATTTTTCAATGCACCTTTTAAGATCAGCACGCTATGATCAAAACTCAAGATCGTATTTTTTGCAGCGGTCATCCGGAGCGAAACATTTTATTTTATTTCAGGCCAATGAATAGCAGTGGCAGCTAGGGGTGTACAACTCCTCTAGAGCAGTTTTGAGTGAAGATCTCATTGGTAGCCATTCAAGTTGCAGTTTATTGGCAATAGCATTCCAGACCCTGGGGGCATCAATAGCAAAGGCCCTTCCTCCGGTTTTTGTACGGCAATATGGAATGTGAAGCTGGTAAATGAGCCAAGACCTGAGGTCAAATTTGTTCTTTGAAACAGAGAGGAGATCCAGCAGCAGGTAGTCTGCGGATTTTTTTGTAAGTAGATCGTGAATAAATAAGATCTGGTGCACAATCCGTCAGAACATTAAGAGATGTTAAGTTTGACCCAATGTAGAGATCACAGTGGTGAGTCCTATATGGGCAGTTCAATGCAAATCTTAAGGCCGAGTGATAGATGGAATCAAGCTTCTTCAGTACAGTACTTGGGGGGCTGATTTATACACGATGTCACAGTAGTCAAGTAGAGGCAGTATGGTAGCTTTTATCAATTCCAAACGGAACATTGGGGGGAAGCAGTGCTTGTGTCGATACAGAAAACCAATTTTTATTTTTGTCTTTTTAACCAATATAATCAATGTGATCTTCAAAATTCGATCTTGAATCCAGGATGACCCCAAGATACTTATAGATCTTGACTTGCTCTATTTGATAATTATTCAAGGAACGTAATTGGGGAAGAATAACTTCCTGCTTTAGTCCCAGTGAGAAGCATAGCACCTTGGTTTTGGAGGTATTCAGGACTAGTTTAACTAGCTGATGTTGTAGTTTTGTCGAAATCACCCTGGGGCTTAGCAAT